TGTCTGATCAATCACTGACACTCTATAAGCATAAAGTAACAGAAGTCTGTAAATATTCACTCAGAAATCAGCAAGCACGTATATAGATAGAGCAGAACAAAATTATACTGATAAAATCTTCTATCCTATTATAGAGAAGAGGAAGTAAGACTCGCCAACTGTATTTTCATCTTTAAAAAAAAAGCTTGGGACAGAATTTATGCTATGATCATATTACTTTTTCTTTAATAAAATCCACATGCTCTTCTGATAGCTTATTAATATTCATCTATATTTCGGGAAAGTACGTACACTTCAGTCTGGCTGTTTCAAATAGAATTCAATCACACACTAAACATCACATCAAAAATATGATGATATAAAAAAACATGATGTAGGAAAGCTGTGCTCTTTTTATCATGCTCACAATGAAAAATATTTAAAGTACACTATTTGAAAAAAGGAAAATGTAGCATAAAATGTTAAGAATCTCATCTCAGCCAAATAAAATAAAAGCAGTTCCCCGAGTTATGGACAAAATCAGTTTCTAAATGTGTCTTGAAAAGACAGATTTGTGGTTAAGTCAGAGCAAGTGCATACAGTTCTTATTTAGCCTTACTTTAGTAACAAGTTCAAAGCCTTTTCAGTAACTTAAATGCTGCACATGCAGTAAATGAATATGATTATGAGTAAGAAGAATTTGTTGTCAGTAGGGGTTGGTTTAATCATTTCAATGTGAAGGCAAAATTATGTAATATTAAAAGGCAAGGATGCATTATCCCTTAAGTAAGATGTCCATAACCAGGTGCTGCTGGTAGCAGAGTCACATACACTTAACATATTCAAACACCTACATCAGCTTGACCAAAATTATCAGTGTATTTTTTTATTGCACGTTTTATGTTGAAACCAGAGGTTCTTACAGTGTCTGAAAACAAACAACAGCAGAATAACTGTATTTGCTCAGTCAACCTTCTATAGCCTATCGTGCTTCCCACAACATTCTGCATGCCATTAAAAAATAAAACCTTAGCTAGGATGACAAACAATATTTAATGTTAGAAAGAAAATAAAAAAGGCACTTCTGACTCTGAATTGCAAACAATCATCACTAAGCACCAGCAAATTAACATACTGTGAGTGAAGATCATCTACTCAACAAATATTTGACTCCCTGCTGAATGCCAACAGCATGAGCTACCCTGCTATTAAAGAACTTGCAGACCAGATGTACAAGAAAAAGGTATAATGCAGGGAAGTCAATGCTGTGGGAAGCCTGACCTGGCACATAGAGATTGAAGTACCTCATACTTGATGATGACTACTGATCCAATGCAGTCCTGATGTGGCACTGTAGGATACACACTGGACTGCTAACCACATGGTCAGTGATTCAAACCCACCAGCTGCTCTTTGGAAACCCTGTACAGGATCACTATCAGTTGGAATCGACTCGAGGGCACTGAACAACTGGACAACAATGATACAATCTTCTCTTTTCCAGAAATGCTAGAAACAGTGGTGGACTCTTTGGGGGAGGCTGGAAATATATGCCTCTCATTCAAAAAGGAAACCATGGAAGGACTGCAGCCACATGAGTAACATTAACAATCACTTTTCTGTATTGAATCAGTCATAACACAAACCTATACTTCTTAAAAAGAAATAATTAATCAATACCAAGAAATTAATTAGCTATGCTTGGACGAGTGACGACAGAATTTCTGAACTCACCATTACTTAAATAAAAAGGTATACAGTTAACACTTCAGTTACTCAGCTACCTTAAATATTTGGAAAGTTAAGAACTTGGAAGGTGCCAAAGCACGATACTAAGTAGGCAAACTAACTGTCAGAATCTAAGCTCAAAACAACATGTATAACAAACAGGAAAGTCTCAAAAATAAAATGTACCCAGAAATCTCAATACTTTTATTTCAAAGTTGATTCTAGTAAGCTAGAATTAGAAAACAACATGGGAAGATTAGACACAGATAAAGCAGACATAAGGAGCAGGGCACAGACTGAGAGGAGAAATGAGACTTACAGAAACAGAATGAAAAGAAATGAGAACACACAATGCAGTCATCTGACAACGCAAAGCTGATTTTACAGAACGTAACTTACATAGAACTTTGATCTCTTTCTTTGTCATTTTGCTTTCCTTTCAACTTGAGGGTTCCTTGCAGGTACCTTCAATATCAGCAATGGTTCAGCGGCATTTGTAAAAACAAACATTTTCTTCCTTCATAGTAGGGCACTATGATGACTAGAGGGATTAGAGGGGTAAATGTGCATCTAGAGATATATCCACTACTGTCTAGTTGGTTCTGAATCATGGTGACCTCGTGTGGTATAGAGTATAACCAAGTTCCATAGAATGTTCTTAGCTGTAATCTTTTTGAAAGCAGATTACCAGGCCTTTCTGCTTTGGTCCTATGGGTGGACTTGAATTACCAAGCATTTTGTCAGTAGCCTGGCACAAATTATTTGTACTGTGGGGGGATCTATTTGGTGGTGGTGGTGGTGGTGGTTATGTGCCGTGGAGTCAGTTCTGACTCATAGCGACCCTGTAGAGGGTTTCCGAGGCTGTAAATCTTTACAGGAGCAGAAAGCCTCATCTTTCTCCTACGTAACAGCTCGTAGTTTTGAACTGCTGACTTTGCAGTTTGCAGCCCGATTCGTAACGATTACACTACCAGAGTGAGGGATCTATTTAGATGTATCCAAAAAAAAAACATAAAAATAAACCCACTGCCATGGAGTCAATTCCAACTCCTGGCTAGTCTATAAAGATAGGGTTTCCAAGGCTGTAAATCTTACAGAAGTAGAAAGGCTCATCTTGCTTCTGCTGAGATGCTGGTTTGAACTGCTGACCTTGCTTATACTACTGTGCCAACATGGTTCTTCATCGATCTTTTAAAAGGTTGGTTTGTTGTGATAATTTTTGTCAACCATGTAGTCATAAAGACCTGTAAGAAGTCAAGCATTCTGAAAGACAATCTAGGAAGACAATAATGCAACTAGACTAATAAGTAAAATTCTGTTCCTTGCCATAGTGCAGAAATTTTATACACCAGTGTCTATAATCACCAGGTACTGTAGGGTAAGCATGGGACTGCTAACCACAAGGTCAGTGGTTCAAACCCACCAGCCACTCCTCAAAAACCCTATATAGGGTTGCTACAAGACAGAACCAACTGGAAGGCACTTAACAACAACAGTAACAACCAATAACAACATAGTTACCCCTTTGGAGAAGACTACCTTAATAGACAAATTTCAAATGTCTGTTTAGAGGCAATGCTTTTTCAGTCTATGTTTGCAGATTTCTTCTGGCACAAAGCCCACACTTGACAGGAACAGAAATCCTTACATTTTCATCCCTTCTTTTCTTTTGGCCGCAAAGCAAACATTTTCAATGCTTTCTAAATGGTATAAATATTTTCAGGACTTTTGACAGGCAGCAAGGAGAAAATTACTTTCTAGGTCTCCCCATTTTGTTGCCTAACCCCTCACACAGACAAAGGGCTTAGAAGCAAGGGTCTTCTTTAATGTTAGACACTACCAGCATCTTTGCTTTCCATTGTTGCCTCCACTAGTGAGGGAATAACTACTGCAAACACAGAGTAGTACTCAGAACAGGCAGAAAAAAGTCTCCAAAGTAGAGATGGAAATTTATGTAAAGGTGTCCTATGCCCACCAAGATTGTGATATTCGTGTATTTAACTTCAAAGGAGACATTTTAACAACTAAATGTCAATATTACCCACACTTTATAATTATAAGTGTTAGAGTTTTTATTTTGTTTTATTGATTTATTTATTTTTTTTAGGAAAAGTCTGCCTCAAGAGGACTATTGTCTCAGTAAGTCAAAACATTCACAAAGGAGCTCAGTGGGTTTCGTTTTTCACCAAGTTGCAATTTATGATATGATCAGTGGTTTGCAGGTGGACAATCTCAGACTGCTTGTATATACATAAGACAACACTGGTTATTTAAACTTATAAAATTATATATAAATAAACACACACTGCATAAATAATATGCAGTATCATCTATATTGGCCTATATTACTAGTGATAGCCCAAACTATAAAATAAATAAATAAGACAGGATCATCATGGATACCAAATCTGGTACATTATTATATGTTATTATAATATAATATTATATCTATGTAATATTATTTGGCCCAAGAGGAGCAAATTGCTGATGCATGCTATAACATGGAAGAACCATAAAAACAAGAAAAATACTAAGTGAAAAAAGCCAGTCCATAAATTATGAGATTCTGTTTATATGAAATACCCAGAATAGGCAAATCTCTACAGACAGCAAGTACACCAGTAATTGCCAGGGGCTGGTGGTTGACTGTAAATGGCTTTGGAGTTTCTTGTGGAGGTGGTGACAATCTTCTAAATTCAGATAGTGTGGATAATTGCATAATTTCTGTGAATAAACTGAAGCCCACTGAATTGTGTATTTTGAAAAGGTGACTTGTATAGTATGTGAATCCTATCGTAATAAAGCAGCAATTTAAAAAATAAAGAATGAACAGCTGATAATGGTACTTCAAGTCAAGGCAGCTTCAATCTAAGAGGACTAAATGTTCCACTGCATTCATTGGCACTTTGAGTGAGTTCATTTTTATATCTTAAGATCTATCTCTTAAGCCTGTAAAAGTGCTTCTCTATCAATACTCATTTTCAGAAACACAATCTCCTCTGATGATAAAAAGAAACAGAAATAATACCATAGATGGACTAAGCCGTACAGTGCTGCTCTTTGTTATTAACAATGCCCATTCTCTATCAATTCATCCAATGTAATTTATTAAGCTAACAAGCAGTTCTAAGTAAATCCTGAGTCATCCAGATCCTTGCAATCACAGAACTTTTAGGTAAGTACTTAATATATAATCCACTACAATATCAAAATCTAGGTACATGTATTGCTTTGCAACTAGAGTCAATTATTAATCGATGAAAACATAAAAATTGTTAAGTATGGATACTGACCTTGTTTCTTTTAATCCTTCTTTCTGAATGACTTCCAATATCTGCTTTGCTGTCATTGGTGAGTTGGGGTGTTTTTCTAGTGCCTAAAAAACAAAAAGAAACATAAGCTTTCTAGGTTATTACATGAAATCAGACAAAATAAATGTGTGAATCATACAATGTGGGCTTAACATTTTAAAGGAGAAAGGTTTGTTCTGTCAAAATGAAGTCCCATCTCATAGCTCAGATGTCCAAAATAAGAATGCAATTTTTTCTGGACATTTATGGCAATGTCTGCAACATATAGGAATCATTCTTCAAAAAGCTCACTGAGGCACACACACCAAAAAGAAAGGAAAGGTGAAACCTAAAGAAACCAAGTTAATCAATGCATATGATTTCCTTTATCTAAAAACGCTATTTTTGGGGTGGATATATTTACAGGTTGTTAAAATGTTTCTTACATTTCCAGAACCTTGGAAACAAGGAGCCTGGATATTACCAATAGCAGGAAACAAAGTGCTGATAGAAACAACCTCACCAGATTCATATATATTATGATGAAACTCGTCTGTATTTAAAACAAAATAATATATGGGAGAAAAAAATGTAATGGTAAAAATGTTGAAAGAAGCACAGAAAAGCCCATTTATCTCATCACGGGGTTTCCAGTTCAACTCAGTTTCCTTTCCTTTGCCTTTCCATTAAATTCATGTAAACCCCTTCCGCTTCCCATTCAGCCTATCTCAGTTTTATGAACTGAGTTCCATTTCCTTCTGTTCCCTCTGCCTTACTATTTTGGGGGGCATGAAGTATCTTTTACACAAAAATTGGGGAGCACATGGGATAGAGTTGATCATTCTCATAGGTATTCAACCATCATCAGCTCAGGAAATCAAGTTCCTTCATTTCTCCAGGGGCTTAAATTCCATGTAGTGACAGCAGTAAGCAGCAGTTCCCACACTGCTCACCATCACGGACTATTGGACAACATCTAGATACAAGAATGAAATCTAGATACATCCTCACTCTCCAAGGGTCAATGACACCTACTTAAAGATGGTGGTTCAGGAGCTTTATGCACAAGTCAAGGCCCCATGTAACTTCAAGATTCTAAACATTCTAATCTATGATTATATACAATAAAGGCCAGCATTATTTAGGTTTAAGGCCAACCTAAAAACTGAAAATTAAAAAGGCTTCCAAACTTGTTCAAAATAACCCTGTGATCTCTCCTACTACCAGTGGCCAAATTCAACTTATTCACTAGCAAAGACTGCCTACACCAAGCTCCTCTCATGAGCTACATGCAGTCCTGTCCCTCTTAACTGTTAGTATGGTTTTCTTGTCTCCCTTGCTGGTTCCCAGGCAATTTTCCAATTTTTTTCCCCATTTCTGAGCAGCCCATTAGTCATAGTTGGTCAGTTCTTTAAAGAACATAGAAAAACGAGCTATGCTAGAAAGATCTGGGAGAGGTTAAGAGGAGTATGTGGCAACATTATTATCAGCAGGAAAGAAGGAAAATGGCTCTCACAATGGTAGACATTGGATAGCTGAAGTAAAAACTGGAAAAGAGGGGTAAAACATAGTCATAGCTATATAGGAAAGAGGAATAAACTGCAAAAATACTGGGTTGAAAAGAGGTAATAAGGAAACTGCAAAATAGAGCTGAAAAGGGGGAAAGATTAGATCCAGAGAACAAGGGAAAAAATAGATACGAAAAAAAAAAACTGACAGGATTTTAAAAATAAGAACTGTAAGCAAAACATTACATAAGTATGAATTACTGAATACATGTAGGGTAGGCATCACCCCAAATGAAAGTCAGTATTGGGAACACGAATTATCTCTGATAAAAGATGGGCAAAGGTCAACAGACATAAACATACACAAGTAAGCAAGCAAGGAAAGGGGCACTGAAGGGGAAAGGCATAGGGTAGGAAACAGGGAAAAGAGAGAAGGGAGAAAACAGAGAAACACTGAGCTGAACTGGGATAGTCCAAAGGGCAAACTGATTAAATCTAGAAAGGGCCAAGAGGAGACTCCACTGTACTGGACAATGTTGTAACGGAAATCTGAGTGCACTTGAAAGTGGGATTACTCACTGTGGAGGACTCCCTGTTTCTCTTCCTGAATACAGGCCCCTCAGCACACCTGGGCAGCTCCTCCCAGCAATTGAGAGAATTTGGATAGCCCTTTCCCCTTCTCTATGACATCACATCCTACTCTACAAAGGAAGTAAAAGTGCCAAGAATTACATCATGGAGTGGATGAGAGACGAGAAGGAAATGATGAAGCCACATACAACACCAGAAGCCACCCTGACTTCCTTCAAGACAGAGAAACGAGACAGAGAAGGAGAGGTTCCTGTGTGTGAACAAGCTTTACTGAACTAGCTATGGAGACATTAACAGAACAAAAAACAAAGCCAAAACCAAACCTAATGCTGTCAAGCGGATCCCAACTCATAGCGACTCTACAAAGCAGAGTAGAAGTGCCCCCATAAGGGTTTTCCAAGGCTGTAATCTTTACGGAAGCAGACTGCCATATCTTTCTCCCACCAAGTGGCTGGTGGGTTTACACCACTACCCTTTTCATTAGCAGCTTACTGCTTTCACCACTGCGCCCCCAAAGCTCTAACAGAACAAAAGATAGGGGGGGCAATTACTTTTACAGACAGGACATTGATAGCATGAAAGCAATGTGACACATGGCAGAGACACGAATCAGACTCACAAGGCAGCCATACTCTTTTTAAAAAAAAAAAAAAAAACTACTGTATGAAGAAGCCACACTTGAAGAAAAATAGCAATCTAAGCTATTCAGCATAAACATTAGATTGATTGTTCCAACAATCTTTTAACCATTTGCATATGTTCCACAAAGTTACACTTTCTGGACTACCACTTGATATTTATCAAATGCATACAGCTTGCATTTGAAAATATTTTCAATATTATGCAATATCTGGTTTGAATTTAATGACTTCCTCCAATGGTTTTCCACATTGTACCTACCTACCACTTGAAAAACTGGGATCAAAGATATAATAGAGCAAGAGTATTCATCATTTTAACAGTCATCATGATAAAAAAAAAAATTACAGACAAAAAATATTTCAGATAATGAATACAGGTTCAAATTGGCTTGGGCAGAAATAATGACGTAACTGTGACAAAACATGAAATCTAATTTTAAAGTCTACCATGGATAATAAGTTTTAAATAACCTTGTTTTCTGGTAACGAAAACTGGAAATATAAATTCTTACCTACAAAGAAGAAAACAAAATTGAAAATATACCCACTAGGCTATGGAGTCCTGGTGTGGTGCTCTGGGATCAGCATGAACTGCAAACCACAAGGTCAGTGGTTTGAACCCACCAGCCGCTCCCTGGAAACACTGTAGAGGGTTGCTATGAGTCAGAACTGACTCAATGACACCAAACAATAAACACAAGCTATGGTAAGGAGCACTGTGGCTCTGTAAGATTAGTTCAAACCTACCAGCCACTCTATGGGAGAATGATGAGGCTTTCTGTTCCCAGAAAGATATACAGCCTGGGAAACCCTATACAGGGTCACTAAGAGTCGTGACCGACCCACCAGCACTTAACAACAGCAGCCTATAGCCAAGCACTTGTGGTTGTTAAGTGTTGTTGAGTTGGTTCCGATTCATAGCAACCTTGTATAGGGTTTCCAAGAAGTAGCTGGTGGATTTGAACCTTTGAACCAGTGCTTATCCTACAGTGCCAAACCAGGAATCTGTAGTCAAGAGGTAACTACAATTATTATTTTTGTTTCTCTTCTAGTTTTTTTGTATTCATAAAAATTAGTTTTAAGTGAAAGATTATATTATATTGTTGCTTTTAAATGGTGTAGAGTCGGTTCGGACCCATAGCGACCCTGTATAGGGTCTCCAAGAAGTAGCCGGGGAAGCAGTGAAACTGACTTTGCAGTCCAGTGCATTAACCCACAGTGCCACACCAGAACTCCAATGACTGTATTATATATAGTAATAGTTTATATGATGGGACTTCAAAAAGTTTGTGAAAACATTCAATTATGTTTCCATTCCATGAACTTTTTGAAGTACCTTCATATTGTTTAGTGTCTTACTTTACTCCAATTAGAATTCATAAAAAGGAAATCATATGAAGCATGCAGGGGATTGTAATCATTGCAATGAAATGAATATGATTGTGATCAATGCAATGAAACGAATATGATAGGATGGTATTCCCACGTGTAAACTATCACTCAATTCACAATAAAAACTTAAAAAGAAAATCATAATTAAAACTTTAGCAAATGGTTAATGCACTCACTGCTAACCAAACAGTTAGTGGTGTGAGTCAAGCTAGAGGCTCTGGAAGAAAGCTCTGGCATTCTACTTCCAAAAAAATCAGTCACTGAAAACCCCATGGAGCAAAACTCTACCCACACGGACGGAGTCATCATGACTTCGAGTGCGCTCTACAGTAAAGAGTTTGGGTTTGTTTTTTTGTTTTTTCTTTTCTAATGAACACTTCACTGATAGGCTGTTTAATTAAACTTTTGATTAATTAAAATATATTTGCAAAGAATATAGTGAATGCAATACTCATTGTGAATTACAAGATGTGAACTTCGTCAGGTCCCTTGATATACTGCCAATTGTTTTCCAGGAAATTTTTAACAACTTAGCCTTCTGCCAGGAGAGAATAAATCTGCTTCTCTCACCACATAGTTGGCAATAGTAAGTACTATCATTTTTGTAACGCTTGCCAATTTAATAGGTCAAACCAGTAGCACTGCATTGTTATTTTAATTATGCTTCTGTAAATACTAATGAGGCTAAACATTTTTTTTTCCATATGAATATCATATGAGATACAATATTTGGGATATTTGTTTTTCTTAGTAATACTTCAAAACCTCTTAATATATTAAGAATAATACTCATTGTTTCTCATATCCATAACATCTATTTACTCCTTGATTATCTTTGAGATTTTTTTTTAGGGAAATCTGTAACATTTTATATTTTCACATGTGCAACAGTCAGTCTTCTCCACTGTGATTCTTGCTTCTTCTATGTTTAAACATTCCTTTTAACCA